ATACTAAAAAATTCATCCACCATTGTATTTAATAATATTAAAAAACTAATATTTATTATGATTCCGATATAGTCGAATACAATGTTTTTTTTTTTTTTAACTTTCGAATACCATGTTGCATCTAGATGGTTACCATAAAGACATGTTTTGCACGTTTAATCAAAGATTATGGCCTTGCATTAAAATAAATTAAAGAGAAAACATCAGATTCTAACAAAATAATATACAAAAGAGAAGCAATTTCCTTACTGCATTAATTAATAATCTACTAACCCTTGACTTTTTGTGTGGTAAGATGAAGAACACAACAAAACCAATAAGAAACCATTTCAGCTTTTGCTGTTAACATCAAAAGCTAGTTATGTGTATTAAGCACTATGATTAAGAGACAAACTTGTAATGTCTCAACCGCCCATGTTTAGTAGTTATAGATAACTTTTTGGACATTTTATTTGAAACTTTTTTTTTTAAGATTGTTCTGTATATCAATAAAAATGAATAATATGCAGTTCAATAATCCAACAACAACAGAAATGAATAATATGCAGACTTTCATATCGCATCAAATCAAAAGTTAACTTTTTGTCTAACAAAACTATCGTCTACAGTATTTCTTAATTTAAATCCTATACCAAGAAATTCATATTCAAACCTGGAATGCTAATGATGCTTAATTAGAATCTAAAATCAATAGACCATCGACGATACAAAAGCATTTATAACCCAATTAATTACCACAATTGTATCTTACTTAATTATATAACATATATTGTATCTTAAAAATTTGATCCATTGTATTTTAATCTTATAAAGTCTTTATAAAGTCTGTAATACACCATTGCAATAGCCAGTCAAAATTCGAATTCATATATTTTTGATGTTTTGCAACTTTAGATAACTGAAGGAACTACCACTATTGATCGTCAATATATTTTAGTAAGTTACCATCTGTATTCAAAGATTACAAAAGAAGTCGTTAGTGAAACAAAATTCACCACACCTGCATAAAAGAAAATGGTCAAATGTTATATATGAGGGAGATCTAGCTTATGATAATTAATATTGGAAGAAATGACATAGATTGATCAGTTTAATTTAGACAAGTAAATCGAACGACACATACACATGCATATGTATAATATACACAAAGTGAA